GGCCAACTCATCACACAACTTAAATACTGTTTTCCTCTGCCTGATAAAGCAAATGACTGGGAAACCAATACCAAGTTAAATAAATAAATAGAACTATAATTCAACAGTGAGATGATGATGTTGTTCATGATGTTCCCATGCACAACTTTTAAGCACACAATCACAGCAATTGCTTTAATTACACTGCAGGATTATATACTATGTAAATACATTAAAAGGACCATTGTAAACCAACAAGTAAGAGAAGTTTCTTATTGCAGATTAAGAGAAATAATGAGGTTGTTTCCCAGTTCACTTGCAAAGGAAAATTCATACACAATCTTAGTTTTATATAGACAGACATTTTCAAGTATCAGTCCTGCTACTGTGGATCTTTTTTTTTTCCTTGCAAAAGTAAAAGTTTGTAAAAGTACATTCCCAACTATGTTAGCGCACAAGGTATATTGTTCAAAACATGCACATGGGCAGGGTTACTTACAGAGAGTTCTGAGATATTTAGAGTGGCTACCTTTCTGGGCTGATTGTCTCATCCTTCATGCTTTATTCCTTTCTGATCTATTCACATTGCGAGTTTCATTTTGCCTTAAGTAGGTTTTAGATCAGCCTCACACTCAGATAGCTCTTGCCTTCAGTAAAACGTAAGCTTCATTATTAGTATGTTTCCTATGATATATGTATAAAAGCATATATACATTATATACTTATCTACATATCATCAAGATGTTGCATCTGATCCCAATATACTGTGGGATTTCTTTGATCCTACATATTTTCTGAAAACGAAGGAACACTGACAGTTCTAAGTTAAAAGCTCATAGATAGGGAGGAAAGAGGCAAGTGGGAGAGGGAAATCTGCCATGGGTATTTCCACAAAGTATCTGCAAGTGGAATTATTATAAGCTAGAACTTTGATCCTTTGTCAAACATTTCACCTACACAGTTTTCAAACACCTGCTTATCCAGTTGAAGAATGCACTAGAAACGTATCCTTTACGTTAATTTCTATGGGACAAAAATTACTTGGTGTAGTCTTCAATGCCACTTCCCATTCTCACCATTCTTCCCTCTTAAGGAAGAAAGCACTGATTTTTTTTTTTTTAAGATTAAATTAATAAATTAGCTTGTAAGATTTGCATCACAGGCAAAATAGTCTTGTCTGTTTGTATCTCCCACTGGAACAGAATGTTAACGTAACTGCATAAAACTTGTTCTAGCAAAATTTTTAAATACAACTCTGCTTAAAGTAAAAAAAATATTTTGTCATTTACTTGACAAACTCTCCAATTCTGTATGCTGACAGATCCCCAAAGTGCAACTGAAATATAAACTGCCATAGCAAAGTGCGTGTTTGCAGGGGAGGCAGAATTATACTAGTTCCACATAATCACTTAATCAGTTACTGCTCAATTCTCAATTCATTTTAAGTTGTGCAATGGAGCAGATTTCTACCCGATACTACAAACAGCTGAGTTAACACGACTACCAATCTAATTCAAAATATTAGTGACTAATACCCGCATTCTTAGCTACTCACATCAGAGGCTGTCGCAGTAACAGCCACTTTTTAAGCTCTGGGTTAGGAACATGCCTATGCTGCTGTTATGTCTCACTTGAAGCCAAAAAGTACTTCCTAAGATTGCCTCTCCAGAAATTGAGATAATGTTCTGAGAGAACACAGTGACATTTAAAGCACTAATCCTAATTTTATAGCAACTGAAGAGGAGTGGTTTGTTTAACTATGATCAGGCATAAGGAACTATTTACAACATAAATGAAAAAAACCGCACAGAGTTGTAGTTCTCCACTGCGTTGTTCATAGAAAGTTTAATACAGAAAGAAAGCTGAGCCATAGAGCTGTCATCGCACAACTCAATGAACACTAACAAATACGTAAGAAAAAAAGTCACTCTCTACATGCTGGGGACTATATTGTAGGCACACCACAGAATGTAAGTCAGTGACCTCCTTGATAGCAAAACACACACACAGATTAATGCGTGCTGCAAAGGAAGGGTGACTACATCAATAGGTTACTGATTCAGACCATGAACTTTATCTCAAAATATTGCATTTAACTTTTAAATAAGGTTTAGGAGAACTTGTAACATTTTGCTCACTGACACAGCTGTATTTTATTAAGGACGAAAATGGGTTAGTCTAAAAAAATTGCATTATACTCCTTTGACTGTATCTAGTCAAGAGGAAAAATTCTCATTATGAGATTGTGCTGTCAAATAAATGCAAATTCACATCTTTCATATTCTGGGTTAAAAATTCAAACTCAAGTCTATTATAAATTAAAATCAATATTTGAAACAATTCAGCTTTCCGTTTAATAGCAACAACCAAAAGAATCAAGTTATGAAATATACTGGTAGAAGTAGAATGAATTATTAAAAACTTGGAAGACTAAGGCATTTATATTACACACATTTAAATATCAATTAGGAAAAAAACAATAAAGGATGATGAACTGAATCATCTCTGTTTTACAACCAATCCTCTCTAGAATTGACTGAGGATAACAGAAACTAAGCTTGCAATGTAAGTTTCACTCAATTTGAAATAGGTTAAAAACTTGAATTTATTCACTAGGTAAAATTTACAATCTCTAAGCTTAAAATTAATAAGAACTGCATTTATAGAAGTAAATTAAATAAAATAGAACAGTGGTACCTGCTATGCACAGCATGCTAGTTACCTCCTAAAGGGAAAATTCAAGGATCTGCTCAGAGATGATATAAAATTGCACAGAAAAAACCTAGAAGTTTCTTTTAAGAGCTCCTTATTTACTGTATTGCAAAGCAATTTCTTCATAGGAGTAAGGACAAATTCTGCATCAACGTAGGTCTCAAATCTATTAAAACAGTTCCAATTTACATTTTCAATGTGCCACAGTCACACTGACCAGACTGCAGCCTTGCCTGCTAGTCTGAGTAGAGATGCACAACTGACTATCCCACCCTACACACGCAGCACCCAAGTGGCTGTCTCTTAACATATCTGCGGGTGCGTGCATGCACATGTGCAAGCCCACCTACCCAGAAGACTTGCACTTTAATCTGTGAGGGGCTTACTTGGCTGAAAACACTTTCCTAACACTCACCTGAAGGGAAGCTTACAGATACGTTTCTGGAAGGCTGATACAGTCTGAGGTTGTATTGAAATGAAAACATGAAGGAACCAGGGAAGATGTTAAAAAAAACCCCAAACCCACAAACAACAAACGAGCCACACCAAACAACTGTTAAGAACTAAATGAGAACTGACTTTTTTGTCTATGTCTATATACCATGTTTACAGCCCTTCAAATCGCCAAAGCATCCGTTCAAACCTATTAAAAGTACTATAGAAGCTGTGGTGTGCAGACAGCAAAGCCTTCAAACATCCTTTGAGAGATGCCTGGACTTTAAAAGTAGCTTGCAGGCCGTAAGTACCTCTCATCCCACCACCCTTTTCAACTAAACTTGAAATAAAATACTCCAGTAATACATAGCTTAAGAGAGACTAATTTTCCTTTAAACATATAGCTTTTTTCTCTACACTGGAGAGCTTCTAAATATTTTACAGAAATACAGTCACTGTGGATGGCATTACCTAGGATGAAACAAAGTGCCAGCAGTTCAGCTACTTTCAATAGGTAACAATTGTTATTATTTATCTACGATTCATAGCGTAGTGGTCTGAAACTACCAGCACAATCCGAACTAGCTGATTGATAAGCACTTTGAAAACACTAATGAATAGTTTCCTAATGCAAAGAACCAATGTTACTGTTCAAGATGGATGGCTGCACACATTTGCTAGGTAGAGAGGGATCCTGCTGTTACTGAAGGGCTCACTGAGAAAGGACAGACTACAGCTTGACTTATATTGACAGCGTAACAGTCCTTTACATCAGTAAACTCCATGCTCTAGAGCACTGCCCTCAGCTGCAAGATGGGCAATCCCAGAAAGCAGCCTCCCCTTAAATCAGGGTTCTGAAGTCCCAACCTGCCCTCTGCTCCTGAAGCCTACCGCTTGGTACAGAGGTCCATGCCTATGTTGAGGCACGCTGGTGAGTTACTGCTCGCTCGCCCCTTTTAATGCTAGCGTCTTAATGGCTGTCTGCAGTAACAGCAGGATGCTGCACAAACTCCAACTCCCACACACCCACTTCCCTGCCACCCCGTCCAGCCCTGAAGTCCCTAATAAAGCTGTAGTCTTCTACTCACGTAGATGGCTATGGAGCAACGTGGTGGTCTAAAAACCGAGACAGTTCTCTCTAAATGTCAAATGCCTTCCATGATGCTGAACAAAAAAAAGCAATTTATAACACAGCTCAAAAGACAACGGAGGCAAGATGCAGAATCACAGCTAGTTTCCTCTTGAACACATTTATCTCCAAATATGCTAACTTAATATTAATTACAGTAAGGGAAAAGCCCTCTTAGACTTAGAAAATGAGTATGGCAAATAGATCCATTTGTGCACTCCTCCCCCTCCCAAACTCCCCTAAATGTTCTTTTTATCCCTCTCTCCCTTTTGCTTGGTATTTTCTTTTATGGATGAAAGCAAAGATGACTACACTTCCTTCTCTTAAGATGAACCCTCAGAGTATATGAATTGCTAGAGTAAATAAAAGAAAGGAGGGAATTACTAATTTAATGCTCTTCCATCTCTTGGGGAAAAAGCCCATGTAATTAACTATAATGAGATTAAACTAACTTGTTGTTATTAATTTCCCAGTGCTGAGAAACTAAATCTGGGACCCGCAAGATGTATATTAACAGCTTTATCAACACTTGGCTTGCATCCTTCAGTTTTTACACCAGTTTCAAAGGAAAATGATTTAACTTTGTTGAGTTGCAAAGTCACTCAGAAGAATAAGAAATTGAATCTGCTCCCTCAGGGTAGGAATGCCAGGTTCGTCTGTAGCTGAAGACTGTGCATGGGTGGAGCCAAAAGCAACAAATGCTATCCAACACCACTAAACAGAAGTATAATTACTAAATTCTTACCAAAACTTTTTTCCATTACTTCTTTCTGACACATATCTTGAACATTCACTGTACAATTCACGATGAACTCTGGAGCAGAGCAGTCATTATTTAGCTGGAACTCCTCACACTGGTAGCACTGTATTTGCAAACCCAAACCTGGAACAGAGAGAATTTTGCTTACAATAATAATAGTAATAATATTAAAAAACCCAAACGAAAACAATCGACACGTGCCAGAAACCTTCCTTATCTTTCCCTCTTCACGTGTTGCTGTTCCAAACTACATAACAGCTCAGCAAAAGCAGGACTTTGTCAAATAAAGGTGTCGCCCGCTCAGCTGAGGCTACTCCTTACGTGCTCAGCACCTGGCTCAGAAGCGGGCTCCTTTCCGGGGGGACCCCGGGGCGCGCAGCCGGCGGTACCGCCGCTCCGGCCCTGCTCCCCGGCGCGGCGCTGGGGACGCTGCCGCCAGCAGGCGGCGGGGCACCGGCACCGCTCCGCACCCGCGGCCCCTCGCCCGCCCGGCCCCGGGGCTGCCCTCAGCGCAGCGGGCTAAAAACTATCCGCGCTTCGGGGAGAACAACCCGGCTAATAGATACGCTTCGGCTCTTATCTGTGCCGACGGGTTTACTTAGCTACTAATTAATTACAAAGGATTTAATTACTATTTTGCCATGCACAATTACAGCTGCGGAGCATCCTTCACCTCCCTCCTTTATCATGCAAACGAGGTGCGCCGCACGGCTCCCCAGGAGCCGCTCCTCCCAGCCCTCCGCCGGGCCCCGCGCCGCAGCGCGGCGGCTCCCGGAGCCCCGTCGGGGAGCAGCGAGCGCCTCGTCCTCGCAGCGGGGACCCCCCGGCCCGTGTCTCCCCTCCGCTGGGAGCGCTGCGGCGGCGAGACCGAGCCCGCTCCCCGC